TGTACAATTGGGGTCGGTATGGAATCCTATTTAGGGCATTTTCGGCTGTTTTTCTGCTGCTTTTCTCCGCTAATCAGATACCTAGCCCTTTTTCGTTCCTATGTGGGTTCCGTTACCCACAATCTGTGGTCGCGGGCTTTGCCTTTAAACGTCTCCTTGTAGAGTTACACGAAGTCTGCATTACTGAGAATAACAGGGGCCATACCAGTAACTTCTAGGGGAGGGAAAGTGAAAGGCAAGGAACACCACGAGAATTTAGCAAATTCTCCCTTTACTTTTCTTTTTTAAAACTTCTCTTCTATATGATTCCCCCTACTATTCCTACCTACAACGCCGCGCTCGAAAAAAGGCTTGTAGAGACAGGAGAAACGGGCGCGGAGCAAAGAAAAAATCGTTGTCAGACCAAATAAAGCTGCCCTCCCCAGTGATCGCCCCCTCCCCCGAGCCGATTCCACTACGATAATGTTCACTGGGGTAAGATAATAGGACAGTTTCCCCACCGCTCCGTTAGAAAATGTGAGCGTGGGGTGGTTATTTTCACAGATCATGTTTATTTGAAATCCTTTAAGCTATTCTTAAATACTGCTGTGCCTCTCGAGGTTTTTAGGTGGAATCTTAATCGGCCTAATGTTCTAAACGTGTTTCGATTTAAGGAGATGAACACTACCCCATCAAGCGCCCAACCAACCCTAGCAGTCTTTCAGTAAGCTATGCTTGAAGCATTCCGATGTTCCTTTTGAGAAACTTCCATACAACTCTAACCGCAGTCCTACCGTCACCTCACCTGTTCGGCATGCCAGCTTTCCTCATCTTTCAACACCTTCACGGCCACATCTACAACACGATCGCCACTTCGGTAAACGGCGCTGAAGACATCGCCAAATCGACCGCTGGCAACGTGCTGAAAGTTATCCATTTAATAACATTACATGAAGCCTAGATTTGATTTTAGATTTTGAAAGCCTTCTTTCGGGGAATTTCGAAGTGAGCGTTCATTGAACACATTAACTATTAGTCAAACACAAAAAGTAACAGACTATCTCCGAAGAAATTCTCAACCCTTCAGGCCCAGTTTTTTCTTGTGAATGGCATAATCATAATTATTTGGAACTAATAAAAATGAACGGACAGAAACTAAACATTACCTTCAAATCAGTAATTTCAAAGGTGGGACGTGTAGCCGGCACAGTTCAAAAGAGCGTACGTCTCGCTTTGCTGAGAAACTGTGACTGTCTGAAAAACCTGACGTAATTCTCTATCTTAGAAAGGGAAAAGCGGGCCACTAGTTGGATGAGGCCAATTTTGGGAACCCTTGTCTTACATGGATTTCATCAAGGTACTCTAGCATGTTCTGTAAGGAATCTGAGTAAACCGTATTCTTACTCTCATCGCACTCGCTTCACTACCTC